TTTTGACCAGTGGTTGAAGATGTGTATCAATGTATTCAGACAGAGGATATATTATGGACCGGATCCCAGAGACTATAGGTCTTCTGGGTGGGATCACTGGATCTTTATAAAGTTTTGGGAGAGTATATATCACTGAGATTTAGCGGTGTTCCATAGTCAAAAAACCTTGTTCTCCTTTTTCTAATATGTTAATATCAATCCCTTTCTTCAAGAAAATTTGATACTCATATTTTATATCATTAGTGGGATCTCTCTTTAATTTTTTTATATGTAGAAATATCTTGTAGCTGCCAATTGATTTTGTGTGTGTGTGTGTGTGTGTGTGTATATATATATATATATATATATATATATATAAACAGCAAAAAACGAGAGCACTCACTGGATTTGATAAAAAATTGCTTATATTAAATAGTGAACATACCAATCAACGTTTCGACCGTCTCGCGGTCTTTATCAAGATCTTGATAAAAGACCGCGAGACGGTCGAAACGTTGATTGGTATGTTCACTATTTAATATAAGCAATTTTTTTTATCAAATCCAGTGAATGCTCTCGTTTTTTGCTGTTTCTATATTGATATAAAGAAGCACCTTGGTGTTTATAATTTTCTAATACTTTTTGGGCAGAGTGCCAGAGCTTGGATGTTCTTATATATATATATATATATATTTGTGTTAGGTACTTATGATAGTACAGAGTAAAATACCATAATATAAATGTAGGATAGTAAAAAGGGCAAGTCGGTTGTGGTGAGCCGGAACCGATGATGAGGTAGGCCTGAGAAAGAAGAGGGCCTACCCAGGAAATAGAAAGGAAATAAATGTTAAAATGTGGTGTGGTGGGAGGGTCATTCAACGCTGATCGCGAACAGTAAGGAGCAAGGTAAGGGGTGTGCCTTAAGTAGCCTAGGAGTGGATACCAAGCACTTCCCACAAATCCAGGCAAAATGACTTTGTTTGATTTAAGGAGAAATTGGCAAGATACTGCTTTTGAAAAATTTGACAATGACTCATTTAGAGCTGTCTCCAATTATCATTAGTGATAATCTTGATGTTATGATCTTACAAGAAGAGTTTATCCTGTGTTAGTGTTGATTCATACCTCACATCCCATACGAAAATTGGAACTCTGGTGCAAATACTAGCAGCAGTTTTATTAAATGATTGAGACTGAATATCATATCTTCCTGGAAACCTCTAAGGGATGTTTATTGTACTGTATATACACAGACGCACAACGATGTATATACGCAATGACACACAAAACAATATATTTACACACAGACCCACAACACTGTATATACACAATGACACAGAAAACACTATTGGGATTATTCTCTAAACACCAGGTTTTGTCTGGGTGGACAAAATCTAATGCAAATTACAGATTTTGATCGCAATGGCAATTCTCATATTTACTAAAGCCAAATGTGGTCGGAAATCTGTCTCCCAGAGAGATTCTGCAGCAATCACTCGGATGCATTTTTAAAATAGTATTCAGCCTTTATAAAGGATTTCCCACACACCAGCTATTACATCACTTGGGAAACGCACGCATGCCATATCAATGAAAGACCTCTGATTGGCTGATTTGGAACCCAACCAGAGTGCTCTGACAGCCAAGTCTGGATCAAATTCAGTCCAAACTAAGGGCTTTTAAGAGTGTTATTTTGGATGTTTATGATATTGTACCATTGCTGCTTCTGCTGTTGTTGACCCATGTCTGCTTACAGTATATATTCACATTGTTAAACCTTTTTCAGAAATACTTATTATGATATATGTGTGATATATCCCTATACCCACAATTCCAATTTAGCATTAAATGAAATACACTGGTGAATATTTTGTAGTATTTGAGTTTATGTTGGTGTATGTTAACAGCCATGACATTGTGGTTTCTTCTTTCTCTCAGAAAGTTAAAATGAACCGAAACCTGCAGTCAAAGCCTGCTTTCAGAATCCAATGAGGCACAGGTGTCTAGGTTGTGGTTGTGGTTGTTTAGTAACATGTTCGTTGTCAGTTACAGTTGCTCTAAATGTTCAAGATATGAATTCCAAGTATTGCCACATGATGGAAACATCCTCATTTTCATTGATCATTATTACCTGTCTAAATATTGATCATTATCAACTGTCTACATATTGATTGCAAATCATACAAATTATGTTACGCCCGCACCCCAGAAATAGCCTTGCTTTCATGAAATACAAGAACTCCACCAAAGTGGCTCGGCTCCAGCCCAGCTCAATCCACTCAATTATCACAACAAAGTATTAGGACTGGGCACAATTAAGGCAGATTTATTAGCAAGTCATACACAATACTTTGGCTGTAGAAGAGCCTTTCACAATGCTAACACAAACATGGAATAAAACAGTTTATATAGCAAATACAAGTACTCACAATTTAGGTGTCATATTCGATAGGACATGTGCAAATTCCAAACTGTGGGCAAAAAAATTAAAACGCTTACTGATGAAATCACAGTGATCAAAATAACACAAAAATAAATAGTAAAGCGTTACACAATTACAAAATAAATAAGTACGCATACATTGATTCAATTATGTCTGCATTAAAGGGGCACTATAAGCACCCAGACTATTTCAGCTCATTGACGTGGTCTGGATGCAATGCCCCCCTTAGTCCTGTTTACATTGCAGTGCTAAAACAGCCTAACTGATGCTGGACTTCCTACCGCTCTGCATAAGGACATTTACTGTTAGTAAAATCCCCATAGGAAAGCATTGATTTAATGCTTAAAACATTGATTTAATGCTTTCCTATGGGGAGGGCCTACTGTGCTCGCCACGCATGTGCATTAGGTTCCCCTGTCGGATGACGTCAAAGGATGCGCAGCGCCAAAGGACACTGGCGCTGAGATCAGGTAGGTACACAAGTACTTTACATGCTGAAGAAGTGGGGACCATCTTTGAACAACTTTGTATACCTACCCCTATAGAATCCCTTTAACCATCCTAACGTGCCAGTCCTACTCTTTTTGTTGCTTTTGTTATTTGTCGAATATCCCTTTTCTTTCTATTTTTATTATTATTTTTTTTAAAGTACTTATAAATTTGTTTCACTGATCTTCATAGGTGAAGTCAGAGGCGTAACTAGGAACCACCCTGGTGCAAAAATTGCCCTGTCTCTCATCCAAACCCAGCACTTTCTTGTGTCTTATTCTCTCCCCCAGCCCCTCCATGTGTCTCGTTCTACCCCACCCCAGCTCCTCAATGTGTCTCATTCTCCCCCACCCCAGCCCCTCCATGTGTCTCATTCTCCCCCACCCTAGCCCCTCCATGTGTCTCCTCTCCCCCCAAGCCCCTCTGTGTCTCATTCTCCCCCACCCCAGCCCCTCCATGTGTCTTATTCTCCCCCACCCCAGCCCCTCCATGTATCTCATTCTATCCCACCCCAGCCCCTCTATGTGATATGTCTCATTCTCCCCCCCTCCGCCTCTCCATGGATTTTATTCTCTCCCCCAGCCCCTCCATGTATCTCATTCTACCTCACCCTAGCCCCTCCATGTGTCTCATTCTACCCCACTCCAGTCCCTCCATGTTTCTCATTCTCCCCCCAGCCCCACCATGTATCTCGTTCTACCCAACCCCAGACCCTCCATGTGTCTCATTCTTCACCCCAGCCCCTCCATGCAGGCCCGGACTGGCCATCGGGCACACCGGGCAAATGCCCGGTGGGCCGCGGTGGCCATGGGCCAAGGCCGGCAGGGGAGGTCACAGGACATCCCCTGCCGGTCTATGCAGGGCCGGCACTATCCGAGCGCCGGCCCCGCTGTATTCCATGGAGGGCCGGTGGGGAGATCAAAGCTCTCCCTCACCGGCCCATTTAAATAGACCTGCGGCTGGGGGGGGGGGAGGAAGGTAGAGGACCCGGCGGAGCGCTATCTTGCAGCTCCGCCGGGTTCCTCTCGCGAGATCCGGCGCATTGCCATGGCAACGACCAGATCTCGCGAGAGTGAACGCTAGCCCGCAGGCTAGAGTTCACTCAACACTGGACCACCAGGGATGATGTCACCGTGCCGGTCCCCCCTCCCACTCACCAGCGTACCGATCCCCCCTTCCCAGTCTAAAGGTAAGAAGGGAGGGGGGGACATAATGCATGCTTAATTTTATTTTCTACCACCCAAACACACACAATCCCTTCTAATATTCACACATAGCACTCTCACACCCATCACACTCAGCACTATCACATCCATCACTCTCACACCCATCACACACAGCACTCTCACACCCATCACACACAGCACTCTCACACCCACACACAGCACTCACACCCATCACACCCTGCACTCTCACACCCATCACACATAGCACTCTCACACCCATCACACATAGCACCCTCACACCTATCACACCCAGCACTCTCACACATAGCAATCTCACACCCATCACACACAGCACCCTCACACCCGTCACACACAGCACCCCCACACCCGTCACACACAGCACCCCCACACCCGTCACACACAGCACTCACATACTGCACCCTTCACATACACACTACATCCCTCACAGATACCCACTGCACCAAACACACACACAATACTTCCGAACATATTTATAATATATATATATTTATATATATATATATATATATATATACACACACACACACACACACACACATACTACAGCACCCCTCACACACATACTGCACTCCTAAACACATTACGTTCCAGACACACACTAGATCCCTTACCCAACTCTGGATCATATACGCACACTAGATCCCTTTATACACTCTGAATCCGTTATATATATACACACACACACACACACTAGATCTCCTACACATTCTGGGTCCTTTAAACACACTAGACTCCCGTATACACACACACTGCACCATCTACACACACACACACACACACTACATTCCTAAAATACACACTCTGGATCACTTATAAACACACTAGATTCATTGTAAACAAACACATACTACACACCGAAACACACACTATCTACAACCCCTACAAACACTACGTCACCTATATACACACACACACTATAGCCTGTATGCACACACTTACTACATCCCCTATACACACATTCTCTATAGCCCTAGCCATATATGCATCACATTACACCACAAACACAACACGACTAAAACCGACACCACACACCACAATCGGCTCACTCTACCCACACGCAATCCCACAAGCAGGCTCCAAACACATGCATAATACTCTTTCCTGGCCCTTTTGTCTCCGGGTATCCATTTATAGAGACACCAGAGACAAGTTGCAAGGAAACAGAGTGCAAGCATGTTATTACATTTGCTTGCACTGTGCAGAACAAATACAGGGCTTTTTTTTATCATGCTAGAGCTCTTTAGCTGGAAGAGCATTGAACCAACATGCTCACTTTGAGAGGGGGCGTGTTTGTCATTGGTGATGACGAAACACACCCTCTCTGCCCCGCTCCCTTCTTAGTGGGCCGCTGTTATTAAAAACTGCCCGGGCCGAATTTTTATCCCAGTCCGGCCCTGCCTCCATGTATCTTGTTCTACCCCACCCCAGCCCTTACATGCGTCTCATTCTCCCCAGCCCCTCCATGCGTCTCATTCTCCCCCAGCCTCTCCATGGGTCTCATTCTCCCCCAGCCCCCCCATGCGTCTCATTCTCCCCCAGCATCTCCATGCGTCTCATTCTCCCCCAGCCTCTCCATGGGTCTCATTCTCCCCAGCCTCTCCATGCCTCATTCTCCCCCAGCCCCTCTCACCTCATTTCTCCCCAGCCCTCCATGCCTCATTTTCCCCCAGCCCTCCATGCGCCTCATTTCCCCCAGCCTCCAGCGGGGTCTCATTCTCCCCAGCCTCTCCATGCCAGCTCTCCATGCGTCTCATTCTCCCTCCCTCCATGCGTCTCATTTTCCCCAGCCCCTCCATGCGTCTCATTTTCCCCCAGCCCCTCCATGCGTCTCATTCTCCCCCAGCCTCTCCATGCGTCTCATTCTCCACCAGCCTCTCCATGCGTCTCATTCTCCCCCAGCTCCTCCATGCGTCTCATTCTCCCCCAGCCTCTCCATGGGTCTCATTCATCCCCCAGCTCCACCATGTGTCTCATGGCCAGATTAGCATTGTGACTGTTTGGAGCAAAGCTTAGGAACATGCAAGCATATTATTGTGAAATTTTGCTGCTCTATCGTGTTCTGTGCCATATTCACAGCGCGTGAAAAGGGGGGCACAGCTATTCACCCTGGCCTGGTCTTGTCCATTACCCAAAATCCCTCTGTACCTTATACTCAATAGGGTGGATTCCATGTCCCCTATTACCCATCGGCATAGGCCCTTAAGCAGTGACCCAGGCACCTGCGGGTCCACTAGCTGATTTAACTGTGCCTCAGCCTGTTTGTGAGTAAAGATTTTAGATGTCTGGAATTTCCGATTTGTATATATTTACTGCTATGATAGTTATTTGTGGTTATTTGGTTCAAACGTATTCTGGATGGTGAACTTTGCTGTGATACGTATTTGCCTTTATAAGAAGCTGTCTGTTTATCGTTGTTGAAATGTATCCATTTCTATGATAAACAGCAATTTGAACATCTGACTCATATTCCCTTTGTTTCTCTGCCACTCAGAGCCAAAGCCAGACAGTAAAGCTGTGTATAGAGCTATTGGCATTATTGCTGCAGTGATCAGTAAGTTAGAGTGAGAGAGGTTGTCTCCAGTTACTTTTATAATACAATAGTACGACTGAGTAGTACTTTCCCTGTAGTAGTACTGTGTATGACTTGCCCTTCTGCCATTGGCTGTTTCTCTGGTTTATCTTCTCCCAGTAGACCCCTTAGTGAGTGTCTGGATTAGAGTCAATCTGTGCTGCAATAAGTGGTGTAGATAGGTATTTTCTCCCTGCCCTCTATCTGAGTCCAGCCTTTGGATCATGGGCCATGGAAAGATAACAGCAGAATGGGGATTTGTGTAGTGGAGTCATTGCCATCAAACACCAGAAAGTGACACCCAAGGTTCAGCTTCAGTTAGAAAAAAGGTGGCTGGGATTTGGATCTTCACTCCACAACTCCACAATATCTCCTCAATATCTATCTTCCTCTCAATGTTTCTTGCCCACAATACCCATTAAATAAGCAGACCGCCTGCTTCCACCGGGAATCCTGAAATACAAGTATAAATTATACCAGCACCCACACCAAAACATTAGCAGTTACCAACTGGAACTACTAAGGTCTAGATTCAATATTGTGGAATATGTTTTTTCAAATGATTTCATTTTATGAAAAATATTTTCATTTTATAATATATTTATATATGTATGTATATTATTTTAATATTTTGTAAAAAAAAAATATTTTAGAAGTTTATCCAAAAAGATTTTCAAAACGTATCCAACAATATTAAATTTAAGCCTCTAAGGTCTCAGGGGAGCCAATCATTGCTGGAGATACATGTATTGCCAAGACTGATATTTTTAGTGTAGAATTCATCACAAACTGAAAATATCCATTTCTTTAACCCATGTCGGTTTCTTGTTTGTTACCTATAATCACTAGTCGTTACCTGCTGAATAATGTGCAGTTTGAAGGACACGAGGACATGATTATTATGCTCCTTTTCAAATAATATAAATGTATATTTTTTTAATTGATATTTTGTTTCAGGACGGCAAACTGATTATGTTCCAGCTGTCAGTAAGTAATGTGATATATGTATAGATTCCTTACATGTGTGTGAACAAGAGATTGCTTGTTGTGCTACATTCTCTATATACGAGCCTTACAATGTCCATGTGTGTATGTACCTGGCTGACAGTGCTGCTTATTGTGTATTACCAGCTGCCAGTGCTTTATATAACCAACTGATTGGCAGCTCATTACCATGTGTTTGTGTGTGCTGCGAGGAAGCAGGCTGGCAGTGCCCTGTGTTATGTAACTGTGTGTGAAGGAGCAGGCTGGCAGTGCCCTGGGCTACGTATAACCAGCTCACTGTGCCATATTCTGTGTACCTATGCTATATATAACCAGATGGCTGGCTGTGCCATATTCTGTGTACCTGTGCTATATATAACAGATGGCTGGTCGTGCCATATTCTGTGTACTTATGCTATATATAACCAGATGCAGGGCCGCCATCAGGGGGTGACAACCATAACGGGTTCTTTAGGGCCCTGGTCAGCTCTGTGGCCGTGGTATAGCGCGACTGGGCCCCTTTAAAAAAAAAAAAAAAAAAGTGGTCACTTCCTCTCAGCTCACTCCGCGCGAGAGGAGCGCGCACGCCGGTGAAGACGGAGAGCCAGGCAGCAAAGAGGAAGCCGTGCCAACTCCCATCATCCCCAGCCACCCTCCTGCAAAGAAAAGGTAAGAGATAGGAGGGTGGCTGTTAAATGAGCTGTGTGTGTCTGTATGCATGTCTGTATGTATGTGTAAGTCTGTCTGTGTATGTATGTATGTATGTGTGTCTGTCTGTGTATGTATGTCTATGCCTGTCTGTCAGTCTGTCTGTATGCATGTATGTCTATGTATGTCTGTCTGTATTCATGCATGCCTGTATGTCTGTCTGCATGTCTGCATGCATGCCTGTATGTCTGTCTGTGTATGTATGCTAGTATGTCTATGTATGTATGTCTGCATGCATGTCTGTCTGTATGTGTATGCATGCATGTATGTCTATGTATGTATGCATGTATGTCTGTATGCATGCATATATGTCTATGGATGTGTGTCTGTATGCATGTATGTATGTCTATGTATGTATATATGTGTGTCTGTATGAATGTATGTATGCATATCATTATGAACGTATGTCTGTGTGTATGGATGTCTGTATGCGTGTATGTCAGTCTGAATGTATGTATGTCTGTATGCCATTATGAATGTATGTCTGTGTATGTCTGTATGCCATTATGAATGTATGTCTGTGTATGTCTGTATGCCATTATGAATGTATGTGTGTATGGATGGCAGTGTGTGTATGTATGTCGGTGTTGTAACGGCACCCCGGGGCATAAAAGGGTTAAACCGCCATTTAGTAGATCTTCCCTTCCAGCGACACAGGCACAGCTACTGCAGAACACCAAACTCCCGAACAGAATACCAAGTAGCACTCCAAATTCCCGAACTGAAACCTCATGAATAGCTGCTAGCAGCTGAACAGGAAAAGCACCCAAGCAGCTTACACTCCTGGCAATCAGTCTCTAACAGCATACAGTAAATCCTCCCAAGAACGAGACAAAGCTCCGTGTTGAGGATCAAGCAGTGAACAGACAGAGCTGTGGGTTTATTGTTCTTATATACACATTAGTACCACCCACAGGGTTTTGGAACACAACCAATAAACACATACAATACACTCAGACACTCCCACACAAAATCCTCCCCTCTGCCTGTGATACAATTACCTTACACAATGAGTAATGTAATTATCACAAGCAGAGAAATACAATTTTCCCACATTATTCATAACTTGAAAAGTATGCATCACATTCACATTTTCAGAATCAGCATACTCCAAATACAAACATATGTCAAAATTCATCCAAATTGGTCCAGTGGTTCAAAAGATAGATCGTAGTCCTTTGTGACCAAAGGAAGCATGGCTTTTCTGCCCAAAACCAGTTCCACAGAGTCTTCTATCCTGGAGATAATTGGGAAGTAATCCAATTATCTCCAAGGACAGCGGCAAAACTCAATTGAACACATGGCAGCAAAAGACAATAAAACACACAAAAACATAACTGTGCAGCCATTGCACAAAACAGGTACATTCAATTACCCTTAGATAGCTCAGATCTCAGCGCACATTATTACTGAATGGCGCTCAGAGCACACACATACAGTTCAATTGCCATGGAGCCAAACTCTTTCCCATAGTCTTTCATTATACGAATGGGCTCCATGGTATAGCTATCTGGGGTATTACCGCTCAAACAGGGCCAGCACCGAATGACCCGGCTTTTGTGTCTTCGCAGGGGAAAATCAAGTGTTTCAACATGGGGCCATGGTCTAAAGGCACCAGGCTCCTCCAATGCACAGTGGCGAGATTGGTCTCGTCACAGGTGTCTGTATGTATGTGTCTTTATGTCCTCATGCATGTGTGTCTGTATGTATGTTAGTATGTGTCTGTCTGTCACTATATATGCCTGTGTGTATGTCTCAGTATGTGTGTGTCAGTATGTATGCCTGTATGCATTTGTCTGTTTCAGTATGTGTGTCTGTTAGTATGTATCTGTGTCCTTTTGTAT